AATCATATATCTATATATATATTTAAACTTTTTATTCGATATAATTGAATTAAAATAATAGATTAATTAATCAAAATCTATCAAATTGAATTATTTACATTTGATGTATCATACGAGCCTAGTTTTTAACTTGTGAAAAAAAGCTTCATATAGTTTTTAAGTATAATATTCTTTAAATAATATGTCATATAGTTGATTATAAGCTCTCTTCATTATTTTTGTAATAAAAGTAGCGATCGTAAGATTTATAATTTACAATTGTTATAAATAATACTTTAACTATGAATATAAATATATACGCAGGCTATATTATCGGTTTCAGATTGATTAATTACAATAATAAGATAAAAAAAAAAAGGTAACTTTTATTTTTATGCGCAATAAAGTATATAATATATATAAGTATAAAAGAAATTCACAATGGCAGGAAGCTTCGAAGAAATTTTCTTTTTGTTTTTCAGTTGGTAACGGTGATTACGTAAATTGAAAAACGGAAAAGAAAAAAAGTTTGGAGACCAACCACTAAACTCGCACGCTTAACGACTAAGATTTCGATCCTATCACTTCTCATCTCACTCTCTATTTCCTATATATATATATATATAGATATATATAGCCCAGGCACCTATCCCCTATCATCATCATCACCAATCATCATCATCACCACCGTTGATTAAACTGATAAGAACAGATAATCACCATTCATCAATCAGACCATCAGATCTGATGATGCCCTAACCCTTCCTCCCCCAAACTAACAAAACTTCCTTCCTTCCCACCATCCTCTCTCTCATAAACAAAAAAATCCCCTATCAAATCACTTTCTCCGCCTCGGATCTGGCCGATCTGGTCCCACGCGCCGCCGTAACGATTGCGACCAGTATGGTAGTGAACAGGAGGCCCTTAAAGAGGATGAAGAGGAGAATCACCGCCGACCTCTATGACTTTTTTACCTTCCCTTCTGCTCCCTCTGCGGATGGATTCCTTCTCTCACTTCCGTTTCGTACGAACATCAGGTCGTTTTTGACGAAGTACGCGCTTCTACCGCCTCCGTCATCTCTCCATCCGCACCTTCTCACGTGGCAGATCCTTTTCCGAGTCGGAGACGTCATGGACGGTCTCGATCCGGCGGCTGTCTGCCTCGACGTCGTTGAGGAGGATGTTGCTAGATCTAGATCCGTTTATTGCGATCAGTGTCGAGTCGTCGGTGAGTCCGACTCGCCTGAGTCATTCCTTTAACCCGTTTTAGTTTAACTCGTCTTCCTTACTAACTAGTCTCCGAGTTCCCTTGTATCACGCATGCGATCTGCAATGGGAAGATGACACGTGTATAATCTTAAATTTAATTTAATAATTAATTTTTAAATGAAATGTGATTAGGTCGATGATGATTAATTTCCTAATTTGCCCCACATGTTAACAAAATTTTGTCAGATATTTATGCTTGCCACGTAATGATAGTGATATCTATGTTGTTGACCTATGACTTTTTCTTTATCTGGTTTGACTTGAGCTGGTTGCATTATGGATAATTGAAGTGATTTCTAAGAATCGTATCTCAAAATGCCAACCTCAATCTGAAGCCAACCCCTTTTTCTAGTAGTAATGTTCTTCTGGATTTCCGTGTTCCCTTTGTTTTTATTTATTTATTTCTCTATCTTTGTAGTTAAGAGTTATCACTATATTTCTCATTTTAATGTTGTTATTTCTTTTACGTTGTTAATATTCAGGTTGGAGTAGCCACCCTGTATGTAGCAAGCGGTACCATTTTATTATCAAGTCTGATGGTAATTCAATAGGTGGGTACAATAGGCCCTGTTCACGCTGTGGGGATATCCTCTATTTATCCGAGTCTAGGTGAGAGCTTGTTTGCTGATTTAGTTTGTTATTACGTAAGTAGGAATTTGGTTGATACCAGCATTTTACTGAATATGATATAGTATACACTTATTTTCTTTCTTATCCATATGTAGTTGGGTATTGGTGTCTGTTGAATTTGATTAGTGGATGGCGGGCCAAGTGTAGTTTGAATCTGGCAATACTGGGGGAATGGAATTGTTAGAATCAAAGTACATTGGGGAAGAAATAGGAGAAATTATGAGTTAATTCCAATCTTTTATTTCCCTTTGTGCCATGGAGTATCTCTTGAATTATGTTTTGTCAATAAGCTGTTTCATAACTAAGTTATTATGAGCTACTGATTGTCATCTGGTTGTTCATCTCGGAACTGGAAGTCCATTATCTCCAAGTATGTTCTGTAAGTAAGTTGCTGATGCAATATCATCAGTATATCCCTAAATCGTCTCCCGAGATTATCCTTTTACATCAATTATATTATATGGAACGACTAATTCCTAAACCTGTGTGACACATATTACATCATATGTTTTAGTTTTGGCAGAATTAGAAGTATGGTTATGAAAGAGTGCTACATCTTCGGTGGATTCTGTTCTTGTAGTAACAGCTAAATTAATTAGCATTTTTTGACTGTTAGAAGATATCTATGTTTCTTGGATTACATGGCACCAATTGTTTTAATATCTAACTTGCCATTGGTTGCCATTCTTGGTTAAAATTAAGTCAGCACTTTTATCTTCATCTTTAGAGTTTTCTTAGAGGCAGAAAGGGGATTTATGTCCCATTCCTGGGTAAAATTAGACTGCACCTTTTGATATTTCATTTTAAATGCAGTTTGCATCAGATGTTGTGTATGTTTATGTTGGCTAAGTTTTTAATTTATATAGTTTTTAACATTTTGCTTTCAATGTAGTTTTGCATCAGTGATCATGTATATTAATCTATGTATTTCTTGATGCATTCTACTTCACAGGTGTAAGTCATGCAATCATTTCATGACTTCCGATGATGTTGAAGACTGGGTGTATCATCAGTTGGAGGATACTACTCATCTTTTACATGGAGTGGTTCATGGAAATGGTTTTGGCCACCTCCTCAGAGTCAACGGCAGAGAAGGGGGCTCTAGGTTCCTTTCTGGAAATCATATTATGGACTTCTGGGATCGGTTATGTAGTGCTCTTGGAGTGAGGTTAGGCTTCTTGATTGTAAATATGGCTTCTTTTTCTGATTTCAGCGAAATGTACTTTGAATTGTGGTTTATTGTGTTTTCCTTCAACATCATAATTTCCCCCTTTTTCTGTTATGCTGGAAACCAGTTTTTCTCTCTTTATGTCAGAAAAGCACAAATGGATTTTTTTTCTTTCAATATTCTAATTGCTAGATTTTCTAAGATATCGATGAATATTTTAGGTGTACAGATTTTTAACGTTCCAGTTTGCATGGTTATGGTGTTGTCATCAAGTTATCTAGGCGAAAAGGTAAATTTCATTGTAAAATGACCTCCGTTCACATCATAGTGTTGTATTATGATGTAGGCTTCTTCTGGAATTGGTGTCTATTTGAATTAGAGGTCTTAGATTGAACTGCTAATTTCTTTGACTTCTTTCAAGATAGTAAGAACATCTTTCAGTTAATGCCACGTGCTGAACTCTATCTACTTTGTCCTCCTCTGAACAGAAGGGTGAGTGTAATGGATGTATCAAAGAAGTATGGGTTGGAGTACCGGCTACTTCATGCTGTCACTAAAGGCCATCCATGGTATGGTGACTGGGATTACGAATTTGGCACTGGGAGTTTTGCCCTCACAGTTGATGCTTACAAATCAGCTGTTGAAACTCTATGTAATTTATCATTGTCACTCTTCCTTTCTGGAGGGCAGAAACCACAGACTCACCTGCAGGAATTAATCTCATTTTATCAGTGCCTGTCAGAACAGAAACTTATAAACATAAGAGATCTCTTTTGTTTTGTTATGAGTCTAATCCATGACGTCCACAAATTATCCTCAAAGATTGGTGATTCAAACTGCAAGCAGCCTCATCCTTCTGCATCAGGGTCCGTGCAGTCATGGTCTGCTTTAGATGTTGAACGTGTCTACGAAGCTATGTTTAGAGTGCTTCGGGCAGTGTCAGGTTCCAACTGGGTAAGTTGCCGTGCTCTTAGGGGTGCCATCTGCAAAGTGGCTTCTCCCGATCTCCTTGACCATTGTCTGAAGGAACTTGGAGGGAAATTAGCAGCTGAGGGAATGGTTGTTGTTGCTCGGAAAAATCCTGCTTCAGGTGCTTTTGAGTACAGGTTACCAGTTACTCTTTTAGTTTTAGAAAACGAAAATTGTTATACATTTGTATTTTTTTTTTCGAGAAGGTTATGCATGTGTCTTTATCTATAAACATGTAATGTCCTGCTTCAGGTGCTTTTTAGTACAGGTTACCAATTACTCTTTTAGTTTTGAAAAATGAAAATTGTTATGCATGTGTAGCTATTTACGAACGTGTAATGTTATGTTGATAGAATAGAAGAGCATTTTGGAGAACTCACACATTATCTACCAAGTTTTTTCCTTGGAAGATGATGCAACCTTCTCATTTTCTTTGTACCTTGGATGACAGTAATTTGATTATGATTTTGTTAGTTAATTTTCTATAAACATGAGTATGGTTATCATTTCACTGTTTCTTGTTTGCTATATATGTAGTGTACTGAGTTTTGTTATTTTCTGTCTGACAGACTTGAGGCGGGAAATGTTTCTTTAGATGGAACTGCTTCTTGTAATGAGTCTCCAAAATAAGTGTCCGTCTGAGAATTCTCATGCAGATCTCAAATTTCTGTATGGAAGCATGCTCCATCC